GGAAATGCTTCGGTAGATAGATGAGGGTAAAATACACGCTTGAGATCATAACTTAGATAGGATATATTACTTTGTTGCAAAACATAGTCAAGGTCATCGCTTAAAGAAGAAGGTAGGGCTAGAAAAACACGATATCGAATTTTTTTACTTTCCTTTTTCAATTCATTATTGGCTATTATAAGTTTAAGTTTGGAAATAACAGTTTTCAAATCCATGCCGCCATATTCATAAAGATAGAAATCTTTTTGTTTTTTATAACGTTGTTTGGTCTGACGATTAAAGTGGATGGTCTGAGAGCTGGGTAAGTTGATAAAGGAGAGCGGTACCATATAGGTGTGTGAGGTAATTAAATGAAAATGTTGATCGGGAGATTTTAATTTTACCGCTTGCTCGAAATATTGGGTCAAAGGAAATATGCCGGCTTGATGGATGAAGCCAAAGAATACGGTTAAGGTTATATTGGTAATATACCAGATTTTCAGAACATGCATAGCAGAGACTTTAGAACAAAGAACTTTGTCATATAAAAGCCGAAGCCAAGGATGTTCCATGCGAAAGGGATAGTGAGCAGAGAAACCAGTTAATAACTTAGGCCCATGTAAAAGTATAATGGGAAAGGTAAAGGGTATAAGAAATCTAGGCTCTTGATGATTGATAAGAGAGAGAAAGAACAAAGGTATAAATATGGCACCCGACATAAGACCCACTATACTTTGAGCTCTAGGCAAACCCTGGTATTCAGCGCGAAAGAACCTAATCATCATGTGGGCAAAGGAAACCAAAGCTATGACACCCAAAATGCCATAAAGTAAGGGTATATTAACAAATAAGTGTATATACTTGGGATGTAAACCATGTTCGGCGGTTTTCTTGGAATCCAAATTGTACTTAATAAAATTCCAAGGAGTAAAGACAAAATTATCTATGCCTATGTGGCCAGTTTGTATTTCTCCTGCAGTTAAATGTTGATAATATAAGGAATCACAAAATATAAAGAAAGCAGTGCAAGGTATGGCACTTAAACAAAATAAAATCATGCGTAAATGAAAATCTAAAAAGGTAACAGTCTTAGTGCCCATACCCCTTAGCAGCCAATAGAAAACCATGGGTGCACCGAACAAAAGAAAAGTAGGACGATTAAACACGCCTGCCACGCAAACAGAAGACATGGCGAAGAGTCTATTAAAGTTATGAGGCGGTAATGCGGTCTTTAGTTTCCATATCTTAACACGTTCTCCTATGGAAGCAGCCTTATCGTATTTTTCCTCCAGAAATTCCTTTTTATAAACCACTGTATTGGTGGTAATCATACATTCAGCCACCATATACAAAAGCAAAGAACACAAAGCCATTTCTATGGTATTCGAAAAGGTATGAGTGCCAAACACTAACATAACCCAACTGCTGCCCAAAGCCAATAAACGTATCTCATATCTTAAACTATATAAACAGCACACCCGATACAAAGACCAATCATTAACAAATGACAATAAACAATAGATTAGACGCGGGAATACCAAATAAGTATAACTAACCAATATATCTATACTTAGGTATTCCTTAAAGTAAACAGCAAAGAATTCCAAAAAACTCCAGGGCACTCTTAACAGCATAAAGGGCAGCGTTATGCTGCGCACCGGCAAAGTATTGTTAAATTCCCAGGTTCTTACATGCTCCAAACGAAAATGATCACCTGCAATACCATAAAGTAAAGAATTATCTTTGTCTTTAATAACCTTAAAAAAACTTACCATTTATGACTTCCACCGTTTGGAAAAATTCATCGGGATGCACATAACCCAACTGGGGTATAAACACTAGCACTATACGCAACACGGCAAAAAATAAATAAGTACACAAGTTTTCATCACTATTGGTACGTTTTCGAAACCATAATTGATTTATATTTGTTGCTAATTTCATATTTTATTTTTTTATGAATGAAAATTTTACGAAAAAAATCAAAACATTTCTTTGCTGCAATTTATTAAGGGGTGACGTGATGACATTTAAAAACATTCACAATAGTTTGTTATTGTTTTGCCATTTGTTGTTTGTGTGTAGGGGTGAGTGTAAACGAATCACAATAGCTGAACAGCTGTTACAAAATGTTGTTAATTAAGAGATTTTTTTTTTTGGATATTCAGCGGTTTTATTTAGTCAGTAGAACTAAACTAAAACTGAACTAGAACTGAACTTGAACTGAACTAGAACTGAACTAGAACTGAACTAGAACTGAACTAGAACTGAACTAGAACTGAACTAGAACTGAACTAGAACTGAACTAGAACTGAACTAGAACTGAACTAGAACTGAACTAGAACTGAACTAGAACTGAACTAGAACTGAACTAGAACTGAACTAGAACTGAACTAGAACTGAACTAGAACTGAACTAGAACTGAACTAGAACTGAACTAGAACTGAACTAGAACTGAACTAGAACTGAACTAGAACTGAACTAGAACTGAACTAGAACTGAACTAGAACTGAACTAGAACTGAACTAGAACTGAACTAGAACTGAACTAGAACTGAACTAGAACTGAACGAGAACTGAAATAGAACTGAACTTGAACTTGAACTAGAACTAGAACTGAACTAGAACTGAACCAGAACTGAACTAGAACTGAACTAGAACTGAACTAGAACTGAACCAGAACTGAACTAGAACTAGAACTAACTGAACTAGAACTGAACTAGAACTGAACTAGAACTGAACTAGAACTGAACTAGAACTGAACTAGAACTGAACTAGAACTGAACTAGAACTGAACTAGAACTGAACTAGAACTGAACTAGAACTGAACTAGAACTGAACTAGAACTGAACTAGAACTGAACTAGAACTGAACTAGAACTGAACTAGAACTGAACTAGAACTGAACTAGAACTGAACTAGAACTGAACTAGAACTGAACTAGAACTGAACTAGAACTGAACTAGAACTGAACTAGAACTGAACTAGAACTGAACTAGAACTGAACTAGAACTGAACTAGAACTGAACTAGAACTGAACTAGAACTGAACTAGAACTGAACTAGAACTGAACTAGAACTGAACTAGAACTGAACTAGAACTGAACTAGAACTGAACTAGAACTGAACTAGAACTGAACTAGAACTGAACTAGAACTGAACTAGAACTGAACTAGAACTGAACTAGAACTGAACTGAACTAGAACTGAACTAGAACTGAACTAGAACTGAAATAGAACTGAACTTGAACTTGAACTAGAACTAGAACTGAACTAGAACTGAACCAGAACTGAACTAGAACTGAACTAGAACTGAACTAGAACTGAACCAGAACTGAACCAGAACTGAACTAGAACTGAACTAGAACTGAACTAGAACTGAACTAGAACTGAACTAGAACTGAACTAGAACTGAACTAGAACTGAACTAGAACTGAACTAGAACTGAACTAGAACTGAACTAGAACTGAACTAGAACTGAAATAGAAATGAACTAGAACTGAACTAGAACTGAACTAGAACTGAACTAGAACTGAACTAGAACTGAACTAGAACTGAACTAGAACTGAACTAGAACTGAACTAGAACTGAACTAGAACTGAACTAGAACTGAACTAGAACTGAACTAGAACTGAACTAGAACTGAACTAGAACTGAACTAGAACTGAACTAGAACTGAACTAGAACTGAACTAGAACTGAACTAGAACTGAACTAGAACTGAACTAGAACTGAACTAGAACTGAACTAGAACTGAACTAGAACTGAACTAGAACTGAACTAGAACTGAACTAGAACTGAACTAGAACTGAACTAGAACTGAACTAGAACTGAACTAGAACTGAACTAGAACTGAAGTAGAACTGAACTAGAACTGAACTAGTACTGAACTAGGACTCAACTAGAACTGAACTAGAAACTGAACTAAAACTGAACTAGAAACTGAACTAGAACTGAACTACAACTGAACTAGAAACTGAACTAGAAACTGAACTAGAACTGAACTAGAACTGAACTAGAACTGAACTAGAACTGAACTAGAACTGAACTAGAACTGAACTAGAACTAGAACTGAACTAGAACTGAACTAGAACTGAACTAGAACTGAACTAGAACTGAACTAGAACTGAACTAGAACTGAACTAGAACTGAACTAGAACTGAACTAGAACTGAACTAGAACTGAACTAGAACTGAACTAGAACTGAACTAGAACTGAACTGAACTAGAACTGAACTAGAACTGAACTATAACTGAACTAGAAACTGAACTAAAAACTGAACTAGAACTGAACTAGAACAGATCAGATTGTAGTCGCGATTATACTCAACTTAGATTCTACAGCCTATATGTTACTCTATTATTTGGACTGTAATCAATTCTATATACTAGGCTATAGTCTAGTCAGGATTATAGTGTGGTCTATAGTCTGGACTATATACAAAAGTCTGGGCTATAGTGCAGTATATAGTCTGGGCTATAATCTAGTCTATAGTCTGGACTTTAGTCAATAGTATGGACTATATACTTTTTATACTTCAGTATAGTCTGAACTGTCATATCCAGTCTATCTAGTATCTAGTCTATTCTTCTCTCTCATATACACATATTCTCTTTTAAGTATAACTCTCTTACAATAAAACAGAAAAAAAGCACAAGTATTTTTATCATAAATATCAACGTAATATTGTCATAAATTACCATATAATGAGTACATTTGTTTTGCTTGTGTATTCAAACAAAACAATTACTAATTTTTCTTTTATTTTTTGCAAAAAAAAAAAAACAAAACATGTTTCTTATCTTTTATCCCGCTAGACAATTAACATTCACACGCATACAGCGGGTACATGCTATATAAACAAAATAAAACAGGAAAAACGAAGAGAAGAAACAGCAAGTGTAACGGTTTTTTTGGCATGTCAAACCAAAAAACCTGACAAATATGAAAAACAGTTGATTGACAGTCTTCAGCAGGTGAAGTTTGAACGCAAAAAAGCACACAGAGAAAGTAATTAAACGGGAAAAGGAAACGGAAAATATCTAGAACTACAGCCTAAAAGTATGCAATGTATAGAAAGTACAAAATCGTATTACAACAATACCTCGTCAGCACTATTAGCCTCTATATTAGCCACTAGCACTAACAACAACTCCTCCCATTCTGAGGAGATCTCAAACTCACACTCCTTTAGCCAAGAATCGGGTGAAATAACAGAATGTGTTTGGCGTCGTAGTGAGTTATCGGCTTTGGAATTTGTTATTTATGCTTTTGTGGTGCCTTCGTTGGCTTTTTTCGGTTTATGTGCCAACTTTATAAATGCCATTGTCTTTATGAGGCCCAAAATGACACCATCAGCTTTTAGTTACTTGGCTGCTCTCTCTTGGCTAGACTGTATATCGTGCATGCTAATTACCCTGACAGCCTTTTCACGCAGTTTCCTCTATTCGAGCACATTTTGGATGGCCTATGATTTTCAGTGGCAAACCCCTTTGTTTGGCATAACCACCGGAGCAGCAAATCTCATATTGGCCTGTGTTAGTTTGGATCGTTTTATTTATTTGCGTTGGGGCATACCGAATGGCACACCTAAGTTTTGTAGACGTTTTGTGGCTAGAAGAATGATTTTGGCTGTGATTTTATTAGCGATTATAGTGAATGTGCCCTATTTTTGTGTATTTGTGGTAAATGATGATGGAACATTTGAAACAACGGCATTTTACTTTTCCAAGTGAGTAATTTACGTTCTAAGTTTGCATTTATTTGGTTTTTTATTTGTGATTATGAAAGGAAAAGGATAAGGTTTTCTTTCTGTTGTGATGTTTTGATAATAATGGATTTGTTTTGTCGCTTCAAAAATTTACTACCGTTATAAATTAATGTAATTTTTTTAATGCCAGATAAGATAAGAATGAAATAAAGTGGCCAGATGTTTGAAAATCATAACACCGAAAACGGAAAATAAAAAATCGCCAAAAACTTTTAAAACACATAATGGATTACTCAGAATTAAACTATAACTGAACCAGAACTGAAATAGAACAGAACTAAACCTGAATTAGAACTGAACTAGAACTGAACTAGAACTGAACTAGAACTGAACTAGAACTGAACTAGAACTGAACTAGAACTGAACTAGAACTGAACTAGAACTGAACTAGAACTGAACTAGACTGAACTAGAACTGAACTAGACTGAACTAGAACTGAACTAGAACTGAACTAGAACTGAACTAGAACTGAACTAGAACTGAACTAGAACTGAACTAGAACTGAACTAGAACTGAACTAGAACTGAACTAGAACTGAACTAGAACTGAACTAGAACTGACTAGAACTGACTAGAACTGAACTAGAACTGAACTAGAACTGAACTAGAACTGAACTAGAACTGAACTAGAACTGAACTAGAACTGAACTAGAACTGAACTAGAACTGAACTAGAACTGAACTAGAACTGAACTAGAACTGAACTAGAACTGAACTAGAACGAACTAGAACTGAACTAGAACTGACTAGAACTGAACTAACTGAACAGAAAACTGAACTAGAACTGAACTAGAACTGAACTAGAACTGAACTAGAACTGACTAGAACTGAACTAGACTGAACTAGAACTGAACTAGAAACTGAACTAGAACTGAACTAGAACTGAACTAGAATACTGAACTAGAACTGAACTAGAACTGAACTAGAACTGACGAGAACTGAACTAACTGACTAGAACTGAAACTAGAACTGACTAGAACTGAACTAGAACTGAACTAGAACTGAACTAGAACTGACCTAGAACTGAACAGAAAGAACTGAACTAGAACTGAACGAGAACTGAACTAGAACTGAACTAGAACTGAACTAGAACTGAACTAGAACTGAACTAGAACTGAACTAGAACTGAACTAGAACTGAACTAGAACTGAACTAGAACTGAACTAGAACTGAACTAGAACTGAACTAGAACTGAACTAGAACTGAACTAGAACTGAACTAGAACTGAACTAGAACTGAACTAGAACTGAACTAGAACTGAACTAGAACTGAACTAGAACTGAACTAGAACTGAACTAGAACTGAACTAGAACTGAACTAGAACTGAACTAGAACTGAACTAGAACTGAACTAGAACTGAACTAGAACTGAACTAGAACTGAACTAGAACTGAACTAGAACTGAACTAGAACTGAACTAGAACTGAACTAGAACTGAACTAGAACTGAACTAGAACTGAACTAGAACTGAACTAGAACTGAACTAGAACTGAACTAGAACTGAACTAGAACTGAACTAGAACTGAACTAGAACTGAACTAAAACTAGAACTGAACTAGAACTGAACTAGAACTAACTAGAACTGAACTAGAACTGAACTAGAACTGAACTAGAACTGATCTAGAACTGATCTAGAACTGATCTAGAACTGAACTAGAACTGAACTAGAACTGAACTAGAACTGAACTAGAACTGAACTAGAACTGAACTAGAACTGAACTAGAACTGAACTAGAACTGAACTAGAACTGAACTAGAACTGAACTAGAACTGAACTAGAACTGAACTAGAACTGAACTAGAACTGAACTAGAACTGAACTAGAACTGAACTAGAACTGAACTAGAACTGAACTAGAACTGAACTAGAACTGAACTAGAACTGAACTAGAACTGAACTAGAACTGAACTAGAACTGAACTAGAACTGAACTAGAACTGAACTAGAACTGAAGTAGAAACTGAACTAGAACTGAACTAGAACTGAACTAGAACTGAACTAGAACTGAACTAGAACTGAACTAGAACTGAACTAGAACTGAACTAGAACTGAACTAGAACTGAACTAGAACTGAACTAGAACTGAACTAGAACTGAACTAGAACTGAACTAGAACTGACTAATGAACTAGAACTGAAAAAAATACACTAGTCTGGACTAGTCTATAATCTTGACTTCAGTCTGGTCTATAGTCAGGACTATATTTTCGTAAATAGTTCATAGTCTAGAATATATTAATTATATTCTATAGTCTGGACTATAATCTTGTATATAGTATGGTCTATAATAAAGTCTTCACTTTATTCTAGTCTTTACTGTGGTATGGAATATAGTCTAGCGAACAATCTGTACTATATATAGTCTTGATTACAATCTAACTTTTATCCCCTTTAACTGGTAACATATAGATTTATGCCAATTCACTGTCGATAAAAAGATTTTTAGAGATAAAATGTAGGAGAGACGGTCAAAAAATCATTATCTCTAACTATAAGTGACGTTAAGTAAAATACCGTCTAAATATTCATACATATACAAATGAATATATATTTTCATAACAAAAGCAGCAAGTACACACTTAACATAGATTAAAATGGAAGCATGTCTAATCAGTGACGTTTCCCAGAATATATATGTCATATTAAACAATCAAACAAATCAATTGATGAATTAATTGTAATTTAATATGATTTCTTTGTTAGAGCAAATAACATAAACTGTTGTAATTAGCTAAGAATTGTCCTACAAACTTAAAAACCATATTTTTGAATGACTTTTCTTCCGACATTGAAAAACAGGAAATAATAGAAATATTTTATTTTCTCTTACAGATATTATATGATCCACAATTGGTTTACTTTTATTTTGCTTACACTATTGCCGGCCATATTTTTAATGGTAGGCAATACAGCCATTTTAATAGCCTTCTGCCAATGGACTAAACAAAGTAAAAAATGTCAAAGTAATTATGCCAATGCTAGCAATAAAAATGCCCAAAATCGTTATAAGGTAAATAAATAAATGAATGACTAAAAAATCGATTAATTACTTGAAAATGTTTTACTTTCAGCATCAAATGAAACTAACCGTTACCATTATCATTGTCATAACACTTTATCTAGTGGGTGAGTTGCCCGCCCATTTAACCTCACGCAAAAGTGCCGTTAATCTACTTTATGGTGGTGATGTTTCTAAAGTAGATTTTAAAACCATGCAACGTTTAGAGGTCATATGTATAACGCTAAATGCCATACAACTTAGCATGAATATTATAGTATATGCTGTGATAAATCCCTCTTTTGTGCCAGAATTTTTTAATTGCCTAAAGGGTGCTTCGGATGTCTGCTTTCGCTTTATGGGTTGTCTGGCCTTGGCAAGCTGTTGGCATAAAACTTGCAGTTCAAGGAAGAAGAAACATAAAAATTCAGAGTGTGCTAATAATGAGGGCACAAATAATGCGAGTACTGATTTTAACGGGCATAGTTTGAGTGATATTCATTGTTATGAGGAGAACGAAAATGGACCAGATGAAAGCACTTTGGATGTGACGAGTCAGGGAAAAAGTGTGCGACAGGAGCTGGAAATTTCTGTAATATGTTTAGCAAATGTAAAGCAATCATTTGATAATCCTTCATTTAATTTAGAAATAGTAGAATAAATAATGAAACTAATTTTCAGAATATATCTTATTTAAGACCTTGTTTAGGATCGTTCGGGTAATGGATAGAATTTGAATTAATCTTGAGCTGAAATGGAACAGAACTAAAACTAAAGTAACTAGAACTTAACATAAAATGAACTCGAACTAAACTGAACTAGAACTGAACTAGAACTGAACTAGAACTGAACTAGAACTGAACTAGAACTGAACTAGAACTGAACTAGAACTGAACTAGAACTGAACTAGAACTGAACTAGAACTGAACTAGAACTGAACTAAAACTGAACTAGAACTGAACTAGAACTGAACTAGAACTGAACTAGAACTGAACTAGAACTGAACTAGAACTGAACTAGAACTGAACTAGAACTGATCTAGAACTGAAATAGAACTGAACTAGAACTGAACTAGAACTGAACTAGAACGGAACTAGAACTGAACTAGAACTGAACTAGAACTGAACTAGAACTGAATAGAACTGAACTAGAACTGAACTAGAATTGAACTAGAATTGAACTAGAACTGAACTAGAACTGAACTAGAACTGAACTAGAACTGAACTAGAACTGAACTAGAACTGAACTAGATCTGAACTAGAACTGAACTAGAACTGAACTAGAACTGAACTACAACTGAACTAGAACTGAACTAGAACTGAACTAGAACTGCACTAGAACTGAACTACAACTGAACTAGAACTAGAACTAAACTAGAACTGAACTAGAACTGAACTAGAACTGAACTAGAACTGGACTAGAACTGAACTAGAACTGAACTAGAACTGAACTAGAACTGAACTAGAACTGAACTAGAACTGAACTAGAACTGAACTAGAACTGAACTAGAACTGAACTAGAACTGAACTAGAACTGAACTAGAACTGAACTAGAACTGAACTAGAACTGAACTAGAACTGAACTAGAACTGAACTAGAACTGAACTAGAACTGAACTAGAACTGAACTAGAACTGAACTAGAACTGAACTAGAACTGAACTAGAACTGAACTAGAACTGAACTAGAACTGAACTAGAACTGAACTAGAACTGAACTAGAACTGAACTAGAACTGAACTAGAACTGAACTAGAACTGAACTAGAACTGAACTAGAACTGAAATAGAACTGAACTAAAACTGAACTAAAACTGAACTAGAATCAAAAGCTCGACTGGAGTATAGTCTATACAATTTTTTCTAAGTGTAAAAAATACTCAGAGTTGTACATTTTAGTATTAACTATGTATTTACCATATACCAAATATCAAAATAGAAGTTTTCGATACATGTGTAGTTAAAACATAACGGTACTAGACGGTCGGTTGACAAAATTAAAGTAAAAAAGATAAATTTAAAACAAATGTGAAAAATTAATTGAGAATATAATAATAAAATAAAAAAATCTTCTAAAACTGTAATTGGTATTTAAATCAAAAAAGTTTAATTTAATTAAAAACACTTTTAAAATAAAGAAAACTATGCAAATGCAAACTTAATAGTATGAGAAAAATATTGATTTTTCCAAATTGCATTTAATCCCAGTGGAGTCATATTGAAACGAAGCCACAGCTGTTGCTAAAAAAAACTATATACACTCACCTAAACATACATATGTTAAATCTTATATATAAATAACGGTAAAATACAACGCGAATTTGACCTATAAAATAAACGAACAATGGAAAAAAACGAACAAGAGGAAACAACAGACATCTTTGAGGAATGCAATAACATGGAAACAATTAAGGACGAGAATGAAGAATCCTTGCATGACCTTAATTTCCAGGCTCTAAGTGCCACAACTGATGAAGAATTGCAAGATTTAACAATTACCAATCCAAAACCAATAACAATCATCATGTTGTACCCGTGGGGGTAATAATTTGCTTAGTGACCATTTATTTGGGTATGACCAGTGTACAAAAATGTCTAGTAAGTTGTGTGGAAAATACTCTAATGACCGAGCCAGAACTGCAGCATAAAGACGACATTTTAAGTTATTTACAAAAAGCGGAAAAAACTCGATAATTCACAAATTCTCGAAAGACTTTTGGAATACAAAGATATATGCAAAGATTTAGAAGTATTTACCAAGGATATAAAGCCAAATGACGAGGAGAAAGATGAAGAAGACGTAGATGAAAATCATTATAATGAAGATAATGCAAATGAAGTTCTCAAGGTTATAGAGTCAGCGGTGTTGGTGATGTTGCTGGTCGAGAGGAGGAAGAAGAGGATGAGGAGGGCAGTAGTGAAAGTAGTAGTGGTGCCAGTGGTAGTGGTGACTGTGTTAAGTCCTCACGCCGTAAACTTAAAAATCAAAATATTCTATTAAGACGACAAATTCTAAAAATGGTTTCAATAAATATAATAAATCGACCAAAGCCAAATATCAAAAAAATCACAAAAAGGAATTGAATCTCAATAAAAAGAACTCTACAGCAGAACCAATTATTTATCTATTCGCTCTAGTTTTTATCTATTTACTTTTAAAGGCTGCCTCGGATATTAATCAGCATTATAAATCGGTAAGTTCTATTAAACTTTTAAACTGCTATTCAAGTATTTTTAATAATGATCAATTGAATCGTTATTTAAGAATCTAAACAGGTTTAAAACCGATTTTTGTGAGAAAATATGAAATAGATTTCCATCATAGCATTATGGACACAGAACTGAACTAGTACTGAACTTAAAATAGAACTGAACTGAACTAGAACTCAACCAAAACTGAACTAAAACTGAACTTAACTGAACTAGAACTGAACTAAGACTGAACTAGAACTGAACTAGAACTGAACTAGAACTGAACTAGAACTGAACTAGAACTGAACTAGAACTGAACTAGAACTGAACTAGAACTGAACTAGAACTGAACTAGAACTGAACTAGAACTGAACTAGAACTGAACTAGAACTGAACTAGAACTGAACTAGAACTGAACTAGAACTGAACTAGAACTGACAAACTAGAACTGAACTAGAACTGAACTAGAACTGAACTAGAACTGAACTAGAACTGAACTAGAACTGAACTAGAACTGAACTAGAACTGAACTAGAACTGAACTAGAACTGAACTAGAACTGAACTAGAACTGAACTAGAACTGAACTAGAACTGAACTAGAACTGAACTAGAACTGAACTAGAACTGAACTAGAACTGAACTAGAACTGAACTAGAACTGAACTAGAACTGAACTAGAACTGAACTAGAACTGAACTAGAACTGAACTAGAACTGAACTAGAACTGAACTAGAACTGAACTAGAACTGAACTAGAACTGAACTAGAACTGAACTAGAACTGAACTAGAACTGAACTAGAACTGAACTAGAACTGAACTAGAACTGAACTAGAACTGAACTAGAACTGAACTAGAACTGAACTAGAACTGAACTAGAACTGAACTAGAACTGAACTAGAACTGAACTAGAACTGAACGAACTGAACTAGAACTGAACTAGAACTGAACTAGAACTGAACTAGAACTGAACTAGAACTGAACTAGAACTGAACTAGAACTGAACGAACTGAACTAGAACTGAACTAGAACTGAACTAGAACTGAACTAGAACTGAACTAGAACTGAACTAGAACTGAACTAAACTGAACTAGAACTGAACTAGAACTGAACTAGAACTGAACTAGAACTGAACTAGAACTGAACTAGAACTGAACTAGAACTGAACTAGAACTGAACTAGAACTGAACTAGAACTGAACTAGAACTGAACTAGAACTGAACTAGAACTGAACTAGAACTGAACTAGAACTGAACTAGAACTGAACTAGACTGAACTAGAACTGAACTAGAACTGAACTAGAACTAAACTAGAACTGAACTAGAACTGAACTAGAACTGAACTAGAACTGAACTAGAACTGAACTAGAACTGAACTAGAACTGAACTAGAACTGAACTAGAACTGAACTAGAACTGAACTAGAACTGAACTAGAACTGAACTAGAACTGAACTAGAACTGAACTAGAACTGAACTAGAACTGAACTAGAACTGAACTAGAACTGAACTAGAACTAGAACTGAACTAGAACTGAACTAGAACTGAACTAGAACTGAACTAGAACTGAACTAGAACTGAACAGAACTGAACTAGAACTGAACTAGAACTGAACTAGAACTGAACTAGAACTGAACTAGAACTGAACTAGAACTGAACTAGAACTGAACTAGAACTGAACTAGAACTGAACTAGAACTGAACTAGAACTGAACTAGAACTGAACTAGAACTGAACTAGAACTGAACTAGAACTGAACTAGAACTGAACTAGAACTGAACTAGAACTGAACTAGAACTGAACTAGAACTGAACTAGAACTGAACTAGAACTGAACTAGAACTGAACTAGAACTGAACTAGAACTGAACTAGAACTGAACTAGAACTGAACTAGAACTGAACTAGAACTGAACTAGAACTGAACTAGAAACTGAACTAGAACTGAACTAGAACTGAACTAGAACTGAACTAGAACTGAACTAGAACTGAACTAGAACTGAACTAAAACTAGAACTGAACTAGAACTGAACTAGAACTGAACTAGAACTGAACTAGAACTGAACTAGAACTGATCTAGAACTGATCTAGAAACTGATCTAGAACTGAACTAGAACTGAACTAGAACTGAACTAGAACTGAACTAGAACTGAACTAGAACTGAACTAGAACTGAACTAGAACTGAACTAGAACTGAACTAGAACTGAACTAGAACTGAACTAGAACTGAACTAGAACTGAACTAGAACTGAACTAGAACTGAACTAGAACTGAACTAGAACTGAACTAGAACTGAACTAGAACTGAACTAGAACTGAACTAGAACTGAACTAGAACTGAACTAGAACTGAACTAAGAACTGAACTAGAACTGAACTAGAACTGAACTAGAACTGAACTAGAACTGAAGTAGAACTGAACTAGAACTGAACTAGAACTGAACTAGAACTGAACTAGAACTGAACTAGAACTGAACTAGAACTGAACTAGAACTGAACTAGAACTGAACTAGAACTGAACTAGAACTGAACTAAACTGAACTAGAACTGAACTAGAACTGAACTAGAACTGAACTAGAACTGAACTAGAAATGAACTAGAACTGAAAAAAATACACTAGTCTGGACTAGTCTATAATCTTGACTTCAGTCTGGTCTATAGTCAGGACTATATTTTCGTAAATAGTTCATAGTCTAGAATATATTAATTATATTCTAAGTCTGGACTATAATCTTGTATATAGTATGGTCTATAATAAGTCTTCACTTATTCTAGTCTTTACTGTGGTATGGAATATAGTCTAGCGAACAATCTGTACTATATATAGTCTTGATTACAATCTAACTTTTATCCCCTTTAACTGGTAACATATAGATTATGCCAATTCACTGTCGATAAAAAGATTTTTAGAGATAAAATGTAGGAGAGACGGTCAAAAAATCATTATCTCTAACTATAAGTGACGTTAAGTAAAATACCGTCTAAATATTCATACATATACAAATGAATATATATTTTCATAACAAAAGCAGCAAGTACACACTTAACATAGATTAAAATGGAAGCATGTCTAATCAGTGACGTTTCCCAGAATTATATGTCATATTAAACAATCAAACAAATCAATTGATGAATTAATTGTAATTTAATATGATTTCTTTGTTAGAGCAAATAACATAAACTGTTGTAATTAGCTAAGAATTGTCCTACAAACTTAAAAACCATATTTTTGAATGACTTTTTCTTCCGACATTGAAAAACAGGAAATAATAGAAATATTTTATTTTCTCTTACAGATATTATATGATCCACAATTGGTTTACTTTTATTTTGCTTACACTATTGCCGGCCATATTTTAATGGTAGGCAATACAGCCATTTTAATAGCCTTCTGCCAATGGAACTAAACAAAGTAAAAAATGTCAAAGTAATTATGCCAATGCTAGCAATAAAAATGCCCAAAATCGTTATAAGGTAAATAAATAAATGAATGACTAAAAAATCGATTAATTACTTGAAAATGTTTTACTTTCAGCATCAAATGAAACTAACCGTTACCATTATCATTGTCATAACACTTTATCTAGTGGGTGAGTTGCCCGCCCATTTAAACCTCACGCAAAAGTGCCGTTAATCTACTTTATGGTGGTGATGTTTCTAAAGTAGATTTTAAAACCATGCAACGTTTAGAGGTCATATGTATAGACGCTAAATGCCATACAACTTAGCATGATATTATAGTATATGCTGTGATAAATCCCTCTTTTGTGCCAGAATTTTTTAATTGCCTAAAGGGTGCTTCGGATGTCTGCTTTCGCTTTATGGTTGTCTGGCCTTGGCAAGCTGTTGGCATAAAACTTGCAGTTCAAGGAAGAAGAAACATAAAAATTCAGAGTGTGCTAATAATGAGGGCACAAATAATGCGAGTACTGATTTTAACGGGCATAGTTTGAGTGATATTCATTGTTATGAGGAGAACGAAAATGGACCAGATGAAAGCACTTTGGATGTGACGAGTCAGGGAAAAAGTGTGCGACAAGGAGCTGGAAATTTCTGTAATATGTTTAGCAAATGTAAAGCAATCATTTGATAATCCTTCATTTAATTTAGAAATAGTAGAATAAATAATGAAACTAATTTTCAGAATATATCTTATTTAAGACCTTGTTTAGGATCGTTCGGGTAATGGATAGAATTTGAATTAATCTTGAGCTGAAATGGAACAGAACTAAAACATAAAGTAACTAGAACTTAACATAAAAATGAACTCGAACTAACTGAACTAGAACTGAACTAGAACTGAACTAGAACTGACACTGACTAGAACTGAACTAGAACTGAACTAGAACTGAACTAGAACTGAACTAGAACTGAACTAGAACTGAACTAGAACTGAAACTAGAACTGAACTAGAACTGAACTAGAACTGAACTAGAACTGAACTAGACTGAACTAGAACTGACTAGAACTGAACTAGAACTGAACTAGAACTGATCTAGAACTGAAATAGAACTGAAACTAGAACTGAACTAGAACTGAACTAGAACGGAACTAGAACTGAACTAGAACTGAACTAGAACTGAACTAGAACTGAATAGAAACTGAACTAGAACTGAACTAGAATTGAACTAGAATTGAACTAGAACTGAACTAGAACTGAACTAGAACTGAACTAGAACTGAACTAGAACTGAACTAGAACTGAACTAGATCTGAACTAGAACTGAACTAGAACTGAACTAGAACTGAACTACAACTGAACTAACTGAACTAGAACTGAACTAGAACCACTGAACTGAACTGCACTAGAACTAGAACTACTAACTGAACTAGAACTAGAACTGAACTAGAACTGAACTAGAACTGGAACTAGAACTGACTAGAACTGGAACTAGAACTGAACTAGAACTGAACTAGAACTGAACTAGAACTGAACTAGAACTGAACTAGAACTGAACTAGAACTGAACTAGAACTGAACTAGAACTGAACTAGAACTGAACTAGAACTGAACTAGAACTGAACTAGAACTGAACTAGAACTGAACTAGAACTGAACTAGAACTGAACTAGAACTGAACTAGAACTGAACTAGAACTGAACTAGAACTGAACTAGAACTGAACTAGAACTGAACTAGAACTGAACTAGAACTGAACTAGAACTGACTAGAACTGAACTAGAACTGAACTAGAAACTGAACTAGAACTGAACTAGAACTGAACTAGAACTGAACTAGAACTGAAATAGAACTGAACTAAAACTGAACTAAAACTGAACTAGAATCAAAGCTCGACTGGAGTATAGTCTATACAATTTTTTCTAAGTGTAAAAAATACTCAGAGTTGTACATTTTAGTATTAACTATGTATTTACCATATACCAAATATCAAAATAGAAGTTTTCGATACATGTAGTAGTTAAAACATAACGGTACTAGACGGTCGGTTGACAAAATTAAAGTAAAAAGATAAATTTAAAACAAAATGTGAAAAATTAATTGAGAATATAATAATAAAATAAAAAAATCTTCTAAACTGTAATTGGTATTTAAATCAAAAAAGTTTAATTTAATTAAAAACACTTTTAAATAAAGAAAACTATGCAAATGCAAACTTAATAGTAATGAGAAAAATATTGATTTTTCCAAATTGCATTTAATCCCAGTGGAGTCATATTGAAACGAAGCCAACAGCTGTTGCTAAAAAAAACTATATCACACTCACCTAAACATACATATGTTAAATCTTATATAAATAACGGTAAAATACAACGCGAATTTGACCTATAAAATAAACGAACAATGGAAAAAAACGAACAAGAGGAAACAACAGACATCTTTGAGGAATGCAATAACATGGAAACAATTAAGGACGAGAATGAAGAATCCTTGCATGACCTTAATTTCCAGGCTCTAAGTGCCACAACTGATGAAGAATTGCAAGATTTTAACAATTACCAATCCAAAACCAATAACAATCATCATGTTGTACCCGTGGGGGTAATAATTTGCTTAGTGACCATTTATTTGGGTATGACCAGTGTACAAAAATGTCTAGTAAGTTGTGTGGAAAATACTCTAATGACCGAGCCAGAACTGCAGCATAAAGACGACATTTTAAGTTATTTACAAAAAGCGGAAAAACTCGATAATTCACAAATTCTCGAAAGACTTTTGGAATACAAAGATATATGCAAAGATTTAGAAGTATTTACCAAGGATATAAAGCCAAATGACGAGGAGAAAGATGAAGAAGACGTAGATGAAAATCATTATAATGAAGATAATGCAAATGAAGTTCTCAAGGTTATAGAGGTCAGCGGTGTTGGTGATGTTGCTGGTCGAGAGGAGGAAGAGAGGATGAGGAGGGCAGTAGTGAAAGTAGTAGTGGTGCCAGTGGTAGTGGTGACTGTGTTAAGTCCTCACGCCGTAAACTTAAAAATCAAAATATTCTATTAAGACGACAAATTCTAAAAATGGTTTCAATAAATATAATAAATCGACCAAAGCCAAATATCAAAAAAATCACAAAAAGGAATTGAATCTCAATAAAAAGAACTCTACAGCAGAACCAATTATTTATCTATTCGCTCTAGTTTTTATCTATTTACTTTTAAAGGCTGCCTCGGATATTAATCAGCATTATAAATCGGTAAGTTCTATTAAACTTTTAAACTGCTATTCAAGTATTTTTAATAATGATCAATTGAATCGTTATTTAAGAATCTAAACAGGTTTAAAACCGATTTTTGTGAGAAAATATGAAATAGATTTCCATCATAGCATTATGGACACAGAACTGAACTAGTACTGAACTTAAAATAGAACTGAACTGAACTAGAACTCAACCAAACTGAACTAAAACTGAACTTAAACTGAACTAGAACTGAACTAAGACTGAACTAGAACTGAACTAGAACTGAACTAGAACTGAACTAGAACTGAACTAGAACTGAACTAGAACTGAACTAGAACTGAACTAGAACTGAACTAGAACTGAACTAGAACTGAACTAGAACTGAACTAGAACTGAACTAGAACTGAACTAGAACTGAACTAGAACTGAACTAGAACTGAACTAGAACTGAACTAGAACTGAACTAGAACTGAACTAGAACTGAACTAGAACTGAACTAGAACTGAACTAGAACTGAACTAGAACTAGACTGAACTAGAACTGAACTAGAACTGAACTAGAACTGAACTAGAACTGAACTAGAACTGAACTAGAACTGAACTAGAACTGAACTAGAACTGAACTAGAACTGAACTAGAACTGAACTAGTACTGAACTAGAACTGAACTAGAACTGAACTAGAACTGAACTAGAACTGAACTAGAACTGAACTAGAACTGAACTAGAACTGAACTAGAACTGAACTAGAACTGAACTAGAACTGAACTAGAACTGAACTACGAACTAGAACTGAACTCGAACTGAACTAGAACTGAACTAGAACTGAACTAGAACTGAACTAGAACTGAACTAGAACTGAACTAGAACTGAACTAGAACTGAACTAGAACTGAACTAGAACTGAACTAGAACTAGAACTGAACTAGAACTGAACTAGAACTGAACTAAAACTGAACTAGAACTGAACTGAACTAGAACTGAACTAGAACTGAACTAGAACTGAACTAGAACTGAACTAGAACTGAACTAGAACTGAACTAGAACTGAACTAGAACTGAACTAGAACTGAACTAGAACTGAACTAGAACTGAACTAGAACTGAACTAGAACTGAACTAGAACTGAACTAGAACTGAACTAGAACTGAACTAGAACTGAACTAGAACTGAACTAGAACTGAACTAGAACTGAACTAGAACTGAACTAGAACTGAACTAGAACTGAACTAGAACTGAACTAGAACTGAACTAGAACTGAACTAGAACTGAACTAGAACTGAACTAGAACTGAACTAGAACTGAACTAGAACTGAACTAGAAATGAACTAGAACTGAACTAGAACTGAACTAGAACTGAACTGGAACTGAACTAGAACTGAACTAAAACTGAACTAGAACTGAACTAGAACTGAACTAGAACTGAACTAGAACTGAACTAGAACTGAACTAGAACTGAACTAGAACTGAACTAGAACTGAACTAGAACTGAACTAGAACTGAACTAGAACTGAACTAGAGCTGAACTAGAACTGAACTAGAACTGAACTAGAACTGAACTAGAACTGAACTAGAACTGAACTAGAACTGAACTAGAACTGAACTAGAACTGAACTAGAACTGAACTAGAACTGAACTAGAACTGAACTAGAACTGAACTAGAACTGAACTAGAACTGAACTAGAACTGAACTAGAACTGAACTAGAACTGAACTAGAACTGAACTAGAACTGAACTAGAACTGAACTAGAACTCAAATAGAACTGAACTAGAACTGAACTAGAAATTAACTAGAAATTAACTAGAACTTAACTAGAACTGAACTGAAACTGAACTAGAACTGAATTAGAACTAAACTAGAACTGAACTAGAACTGAACCTAAAACTGTATCTCAATTTGAGACTTAATTAAGACTTTAGGTTATTCATATAACAACTACTTCCTTTTTAAGAACTCCTTCATGTCTTTAATACACTTTTTTGCCTTTCTTTCATTCTTCTACAACTTTTAGCAAAATAAAAACGATAAACGTTTAAGACGTTGCTCTTTACAATCCTATGCCCAAACCCATCGACCGGATCGTCGAGCCTCAAAAGGTATTTCAGCTAAAAGTTTGCCGAAATTCTAAAAAAATGTCAATGTCAACTATAGCATTTATACAAACTATAATCAAATCAAAATGAAAAAGTATTCCAATTAAAATCAAAAAACAAATTACTAAAAAGGTCCTTAATTAAAGAACAAATTCTAAACTAGTAAAAATGTTATAATTTCAAAAAGTTTTATTGAAAACACAAAAAAAAAACTTTAACTAATAGCTTTAAAACCAAGTATATTTTAACTAAATGGAATTTTTACCCCCATACACTTTATATTCATATTAAATATTATAGACTTATCAATATCAATAGTAAATGTGTGCAATTTTAAATGTACTTGTAGTTAAAAACAAATAAAAAATAAAGAAAAAGTTTCCAACTTTTCTAACTATCTCTGAATGTATGTACTGTAAATGTGATTAATATTTAATGTAACACTTTTTTTTATAATTAAAAACAAAGTATTGATAATAAATCGAAAAAAGAGTTTAAAGTTAGAATTAAATTCTACTCTTTTTCTTTTCGATTTAATATTAATACAACTTTTTTAATATTTACTATCTTTTTATCTCTTTGCCTCATTTTTAAAACACTTTTGTGAAATTTTCTACTAAATCACACACTCACAAACATTTTCTTAATAAACCAACTGATCTCTCCCTGACTGTATTTTTGTATATACTTATTATATAGACTATTTAATTATATATTTATAATTTGTTTTTAGAAAAATATATTTAACTATATATATTGTACAATGTATGAAATTAGAAATTTTATTGCAACTTACTATAAATGTGTAATTTAATTATATGAACAAAAAAAAGAAAAAATAAGTGAATTTTAAACTAATAAAAAAAAAACTATTATCAAAACTCTATTGTTGCCTTTAACTACTGTCTCATGTTGTTTGCCATTTCTTTTATTAACACTTAGAACACTATCAATCTCACAACCTGACACAATTTTCTATAATTTGCAATTTATTCACTTTAAACCATTTTTTAAATTTTTCTTTATTGAATTAAACTAATCCTTGAACTGAACTGTAATTAGAACTTAACTAGAACTAAACTAGAAACTGAACTAGAACTGAACTAGAACTGAACTAGAACTGAACTAAAACTGAACTAGAACTGTACTCGAACTGAACTAGAACTGAACTAGAACTAAACTAGAACTGAACTAGAACTGAACTAGAACTGAACTAGAACTGAACTAGAACTGAACTAGAACTGAACTAGAACTGAACTAGAACTGAACTAGAACTGAACTAGAACTGAACTAGAACTGAACTAGAACTGAACTAGAACTGAACTAGAACTGAACTAGAACTGAACTAGAACTGAACTAGAACTGAACTAGAACTGAACTAGAACTGAACTAGAACTGAACTAGAACTGAACTAGAAATGAACTAGAACTGAACTAGAACTGAACTAGAACTGAACTAGAACTGAACTAGAACTGAACTAGAACTGAACTAGAACTGAACTAGAACTGAACTAGAACTGAACTAGAACTGAACTAGAACTGAACTAGAACTGAACTAGAACTGAACTAGAACTGAACTAGAACTGAACTAGAACTGAACTAGAACTGAACTAGAACTGAACTAGAACTGAACTAGAACTGAACTAGAACTGAACTAGAACTGAACTAGAACTGAACTAGAACTGAACTAGAACTGAACTAGAACTGAACTAGAACTGAACTAGAACTGAACTAGAACTGAACTAGAACTGAACTAGAACTGAACTAGAACTGAACTAGAACTGAACTAGAACTGAACTAGAACTGAACTAGAACTGAACTAGAACTGAACTAGAACTGAACTAGAACTGAACTAGAACTGAACTAGAACTGAACTAGAACTGAACTATAACTGAACTAGAACTGAACTAGAACTGAACTAGAACTGAACTAGAACTGAACTAGAACTGAACTAGAACTGAACTAGAACTAAACTAGAACTAAACTAGAACTGAACTAGAACTGAACTAGAACTGAACTAGAACTGAACTAGAACTGAACTGAACTGAACTGAACTAGAACTGAACTAGAACTGAACTAGAACTGAACTAGAACTGAACTAGAACTGAACTAGAACTGAACTAGAACTAGAACTGAACTAGAACTGAACTAGAACTGAACTAGAACGAACTAGAACTGAACTAGAACTGAACTAGAACTGAACTAGAACTGAACTAGAACTGAACTAGAACAGAACTACAACTGAACTAGAACTGAACTAGAACTGAACTAGAACTGAACTAGAACTGAACTAGAACAGAACTACAACTGAACTAGAACTGAACTAGAACTGAACTAGAACTGAACTAGAACTGAACTAGAACTAAACTAGAACTAAACTAGAACTGAACTAGAACTGAACTAGAACTGAACTAGAACTGAACTAGAACTGAACTGAACTGAACTAGAACTGAACTAGAACTGAACTAGAACTGAACTAGAACTGAACTAGAACTGAACTAGAACTGAACTAGAACTAGAACTGAACTAGAACTGAACTAGAACTGAACTAGAACTGAACTAGAACTGAACTAGAACTGAACTAGAACTGAACTAGAACTGAACTAGAACTGAACTAGAACTGAACTAGAACTGAACTAGAACTGAACTAGAACTGAACTAGAACTGAACTAGAACTGAACTAGAACTGAACTAGAACTGAACTAGAACTGAACTAGAACTGAACTAGAACTGAACTAGAACTGAACTAGAACTGAACTAGAACTGACTAGAACTGAACTAGAACTGAACTAGAACTGAACTAGAACTGAACTAGAAACTGAACTAGAACTGAACTAGAACTGAACTAGAACTGAACTAGAACTGAACTAGAACTGAACTAGAACTGAACTAGAACTGAAATAGAACTGAACTAGAACTGAACTAGAACTGAACTAGAACTGAACTGAGAACTAGAACTGAACTAGAACTGAACTAGAACTGAACTAGAACTGAACTAAAACTGAACTAGAACTGAACTAGAACTGAACTAGAACTGAAATAGAACTGAACTAGAACTGAACTAGAACTGAACTAGAACTGAACTAGAACTGAACTAGAACTGAACTAGAACTGAACTAGAACTAAACTAGAACAGAACTACAACTGAACTAGAACTGAACTAGAACTGAACTAGAACCGAACTAGAACTGAACTAGAACTGAACTAGAACTGAACTAGAACTGAACTAGAACTGAACTAGAACTGAACTAGAACCGAACTAGAACTGAACTTCAACTGAACTACAACTGAACTAGAACTGAACTAGAACTAAACTAGAACTAAACTAGAACAGAACTACAACTGAACTAGAACTGAACTAGAACTGAACTAGAACTGAACTAGAACTGAACTAGAACAGAACTACAACTGAACTAGAACTGAACTACAACTGAACTAGAAACTGAACTCAAAATGAACATGTTCCCACTCTACACATTTTGAGTTAATTTTATTGTTATTCTTTTAAATTACTATAATTTATTTAAATTTTCCATTTAAGCTTTGTAAAATTTGTTCTATTTAATCTATTGAATTCCATTTTTATAAATTTCCTTCCACAACATTTGTCACACTAAATTCTTTACACAAACAAATTATATTTGTGTTGTTTTGCTAATTTTCTTAAATTTTAATTAAAAAAAAAATCAAACAAAATTATTAGAAACTTAACAATTTACTAGTAATTATCCTTTCTAACATCCTTTAATCATTCCCAACTAACAAATTATATAAAAATATACAAAAACTACAACAGAATTGGCTTTAAAACAAAAACAACAGCTACAACAACAACAAACAACAACGTTTAAAAACATTATCCCGCTCCTCCAGTCAAGAACAACAAAGTTATCATTATACTCATCATCATCATCAACAGCAACAACATTTAATGGATGCATCACCACAAAAAACTGAACAACATGTTATTCAATGCACTGGCTCTCCCGTACGTCCTAAAGTTTACTATTCAAGCAATTGGCAATTATTAAGACAGCATACCACCACACAATCTGTGGATAATTCTGATCTATTGATTGGCGCACGTGGGTAATGCAGGGTAAATTGAAATTAGTTTTAGAATATTTGTTAAATGTTGATGAAAATTTCTTTAAAACTTTTAATTTAAGAAATACATGCTACAATGATGGCCAGACGTTTGTTCAGTGCCAGCTGCCCTAAGCTATCAAAGGCAAAAGTTATCCACCAATGTTTCACCATTAAGTATTGTTAATGATCATGTTAATGTATCCCTAAGTAGACGCACCTCTATAACATCATCCTTACCTTTAGCCACAATGGATCCTACAGATAGTTTGGCACCAGAAACCAAACGTAGAGTACGTATGATAAATAGACATTAGGTGGGGTTGTGTGTGGAGTAGACGTTTTTTTTTTTAATGGAAAAATATTGATGTTTACTTTTTAAATATTAAATAGATATTAAGAAATCATTTAAATTACTCACCTAAGATAAACTAGAAGATGTTAAATGTTAGCTGGACACAATTATTTCATTTTTTTTTTTTTTTTTTTTGTGGCCCAGAGGGCTTTTGATGCATTTGGGACTAAAAAAAAAACTTAAACACTAATGCCCCTTAAAGACTTATTTTACATTTCACTTTTATTAACACAACCCTTTAATAAATAGATTTTCTTTTAATTACATTTATTTTAATTTTATTTCATTTTTTTGTGGCTCAGAGGGCTTTTCATGTATTACAATAAAAAGATTTGAGACTAAACAACACTTAAACACCTTTTTTTAACTAATGCCCCTTAAACACTTATTTTACACTTCACTTTATTAACACAACACTTTAATAATAAATTTTTGTTTTAACTACATTTATTACATTTATTTTCATTTTATTTCATTATATTAATTTTTTCTCTAAATTTTCTCGAACGCCACAACTCCCGCTTTAAAATTCGCGTTATTATTAACAATTGTCAAATAATATTTATAACAAGATTACCATTATTACAGCTTATATGAAATTAGCATAAAAAAATTTTACTTTACTTTACTTCAACATTGAGAGCTTTGGCAATCCTAGTGCCAAAGGAAACAAGAAAACAAATGACAGGTTAACAAATAACAATTACAATAGGATTACCATCATTAAAGCAAGTATGAAATTAAGAGATATTTGTTAGTCATAAACCCTAAATTCTTGCTAAGGCAACTCTGTTATAAAATAAATAGGAAACAGGAAAGCAAAACAAAACAAAAAAATTACTTTTCCAAAAATGCAGTTTGGTAAAGAAATTTAGATATTTTATGAAAATCATGAATGAAAATTGCTAATATATAATTTTGATAAAGTAAAAAGTATGCAATTGGCCAAAATGTATTTGTTGACTACAGAAAACAGACCGCCAACTCAAGTACAATCTTTATTTTTAGGAAAATACGTCACCAAAGTTCCTTTTTTATGGTTTTTTAACAAAACTAATCTAAAATTAAGTTAAATTGTACTAGTACTGACTAGAACTGACTAGAAGTGAACTAAAACTGAACTAGAACTTAACTAGAACTGAACTAGAACTTAACTAGAACTGACCTAGAACTGACTGAACTGACAGACTGATTTAGAACTGAACTAGACGAACTAGAACTGAACTAGAACTGAACTAGAACTGAACTAGAACTAGAACTGAACTAGAACTGAACTAGAACTGAACTAGAACTGAACTAGAACTGAACTAGAACTGAACTAGAACTGAACTAGAACTGAACTAGAACTGAACTAGAATTGAACTAGAACTGAACTAGAACTGAACTAGAATTGAACTAGAACTGAACTAGAACTGAACTAGAACTGAACTAGAACTGAACTAGAACTGAACTAGAACTGAACTAGAACTGAACTAGAACTGAACTAGAACTGAACTAGAACTGAACTAGAACTGAACTTGAACTGAACTAGAACTGTACTAGAACTGAACTAGAACTGAACTAGAAGTGAACTAAACTGAACTAGAACTTAACTAGAACTGAACTTGAACTTAACTTGAACTGAACTAGAACTGAACTAGAACTGAACTAGAACTGAACTAGAACTGAACTAGAACTGAACTAGAACTGAACTAAAACTGAACTAGAACTGAACTAGAACTGAACTAGAACTGAACTAGAACTGAACTAGAACTGAACTAGAACTGAACTAGAACTGAACTAGAACTGAACTAGAACTGAACTAGAACTGAACTAGAACTGAACTAGACTGAACTAGACTGAACTAGAATTAACTGAACTGACTAGAACTGACTAGAACTGAACTAGAACTGACTAGAACGAACTAGAACTGAACTAGATACTGAACTAGAACTGAACTAGAACTGAACTAGAACTGAACTAGAACTGAACTAGAACTAGACTACTAGAACTGAACTATAACTGAACTGAGAACTGAACTAGAACTGAACTAGAACTGAACTAGAACTGAACTAGAACTGAACTAGAACTGAACTAGAACTGAACTCGAACTGAACTAGAACTGAACTAGAACTGAACTAGAACTGAACTAGAACTGAACTAGAACTGAGAACTAGAACTGAACTAGAACTGAACTAGACTGAACTAGAACTGAACTAGACTGAACTAGAAACTGAACTTGAACTGAACTAGAACTGAACTTGAAATGAACTAGATGTGAAGTTAACCGAACTAGAAGTAAACTAGAACTGAATTAGAAATAAATTAAAACTGAACGGGATCTCGATAGGAACTGATTTAAAATTTTAATTTAATATATTTTCCTTAAAATTTGTTAAATTTGAGAAAAAAGTTTAGAAAAGGTCATCAAAATAGTGGATAATTTGGAAATGTTTTTTATTACCAAATCCTCCTACCTTTCCTCCAAAGCCAAAACATTTACTTATACTTTAAAGATAGTGTAATTAATAGGAAAAAAACAAACATTTTCATTTAATTATAAAACAATTTTACAAAAAAGTAGTAGTTTTTATTCAATAAGATGTTTTCTTAAATAAATGTTTAGAATGTTGTGTATATGTTATTTAAATTAGTTATTTTTTTTAATATATATAAATTTAAATGTATGATAGTATAAGGAGAAAGGATATGTACGTAAATGAATGTTTTTTTTTTTGTCTTTTTTTTAGCGTAGTAGTATATAATTTGTATAATTTAAACAAATTAAAAAAAAATAAATTTATTATAAATATATATTTATTATATATGTACTCTTATAGGTAAATGTATTAATTAAAATATTATTTACAAACTATATTATATAATTTAATTTATTTTACTAAATTAAACACAATACAGCTAAATATTAAACAATAAAATTACAAAATTATTATAAAAATAGTATTTTTTTAGCTTTTTATAAAAAAAATATAATTTTGTATTTGTAGAATATAAAAATAGTTTAAAAATTTACGTTTTAAATTAGATTTACATGTTTTGTTAATTTCGTAAAGAAGTTTAAATGTTTGTGTGAAACAATATGTTGTAACTTAGTTATCTTATGTATATTAATTTTTAAAATATACTTAGAAAATGTAAAGCTAACTAAACAATAGTAAGGCAAGATTATTTTTTTCGTTTTTTTTGTTTTATTCAAAGTAAATATATTAAATTTTCAGGCTTTTTATGTTTATATAAAATAATGATAATATATTTGAAATTAACCCTAAAAAGGTTTGATTTAATGGTAAAATATTTGAATTGTTGTTTTTTATGGAAGACAGTTTGATTAAAACGGCTCTTGGTTGAGAATAAGCAGAATAAACAGAACTGAAGTAGAAGTTATCTACAACAGATCTGAAATTTATTTGGAATTGATTTAAAATTGGAATAATAGTAATCATGATCTGAACTATAATTGGGCTATGATCTGCAGCTGATATAGAAATTAAATAGAACTTCAAAAAAAAAAAATAAAACTATTTTTATATAAACAAATTTAAGGCCCATTTGTGTTTCGTTTCGTCTCACTTTTCTTTTAACTAACTTAAAAAGTTAGACTTATATAAATAGTGTAAATAAAAATTACAAAAACTAACTACAAAACTAACTGGTAACTGGCTAACTAAGTTCATTACCTTCATACAGGCTCTCACAACTTTCCAGTAAACGTAACACCGGTGATATATCATACGGATACAGTTGTCGCGATACCAGACGTGATATTTGCAAACGTAAACGTATCAACACACTCATGGCCTCATCCAGTGTCGACGAGCCCATGCCGAAGTCATGACAACTCTGTACAAACATTGACCAATTCATGCGTATATACTTAAGAAAACGCAAGAGATACAACAGAAAACATGTCTCATTGCTGACCAATAGATCCAACAGTAAATCAGAACTATTCGATATCATTTTCAGGAACTCTAGAAACGTATAGACCGGATTGAGCATTGACACTAGTTCGGGAAAGGCATTATTGCGAAATGAAATGCCAGCCGTGACGTCCAGCGTACACACCATGGCCTCAATGAGATGATCATCTTGATCATCGAATAAATGTATTAGGATTTTACTAAAATGACACTCCGGATGAAATTCCAAGGTGTGTTTAATGAATGATTCCAATTTACGCAATACATCACGTATGGAACGTTCGATCAGCACCATATCCTGAAAGGCATCATAGTCGGTGGAGTCTATAGAAGAGTCTGAAGAATCACTGCGTATTTCCTTGACAGTGACGGCAATGGATTTAAGCACCAGTAGAACAATTTTCTGTAGAATAGTTTTATCCATTTCTATGACATCGCTAGAGTTTAAAGCATTTTCCGTGTTAAGGGAAAATTGTGTCTGCAATGTATTTAGGCCATAGTTAATGGGTTTCCTTTTGAAGCCAATAAGACCCACTATGTTTTCCGGCTGACGACGAGGTAGAGATTCTAAAATGCGAAAATCCTTAACATGCCGCACTATTTGATGGGCCAGCATACAAGTCTCATCGGGCAGCATATCCTGCAAGGCTAAGGTGGAGCCATAGCAAAGAGCCTCATTAAACAGACAGAGCATTTGCTTATAAACGGTGCAGGATAGATTTTGATTTAGTAACAATTCAAACTTATCCAATTGAGCATAAAAAGGCAAAGTTTCTACTATGGAGAGATTGGCCTTTACCGAGATAATGTTCTCCCATAATTGCAGGAAATTTAATATACAATTTTCGGCATTCTCCACCGTCAAATGATTGGCTATAAGCGATGACATGTTCTTAACCAAAGCGGGCCATTTATTTTCGAGTATTTTTATGGTTATGCACTTGAGATGGGTGGTATCGAAACTTTCCGAGTCGGTAAGGGTAATTAAATGACAGCCCTGTTGCTGTACCAGGTGGGGATGAGACGTTGTTAGATGATGAGCAGGATGATGAAAGGCTGGATTTGGCAAATTGTTGTAATGATGATGAGGATGGGGAGGAGGATGATGTTGTTGATTTGTTGCTGTAGAGGAGGAGGGACCCTCTGCCAGATTTTCATGGGAACGATAGTGTACTGCAAAATAATTGGACTCTAGCGAGGGCTGTTGGGCCTGAAAATGCAAATAACCCAGATGGCTATCATCTACCGCTGCAGCATTATGGTTATTACTATGAAATGTGGCAGTGGAAGGCGAAGGTAGACTGTCGTTTTGTGTATCAGCAATTTCCTCCTCCAACGGATGCAAGTCAATATCTTTCCATTCGACTATGCGCTTAATAATTTCCAAACTAAAATGTATCTTTTGCACCGCTTTATGATCTAGACGATCAAAATTAAATAAATTATCCACCAGCTTCTTTAGCCAATCATCATCCATTTCCTGTTTGGCTATAACCAAAAAAGAAGCCAATACACGTCCGGCCAAAAACTGTACATACGAATTACTATAGCCGGCCAACACTATAATCTCATCGATCAGATTGTGATCATTTCGTATGAGAGCATCACAAACATCCATTATGCGGGCACAAATGAAACCCTTTGAGTTTTGTTTCAAATAAATATCAAACATTAACTGTAGATTCGAGAGAAATTGCAGTAATTTATTGGTGGGCCATTCGCTAAGATTGGCCACACGCTTTTGGCCATTGGCATCCAGGGAATAGTGAGATTGAAAAGGTTTTCTTAGCATACGTTCCGAGACACCACATAGACATTGTTTGTTAAGGGATTCCTCAAATTCACGCATATCTTGTGAAGCGGTCAGCTCATCCAAATGTTGTTGTGTGAATGTAAATCGGGGTTTATGGTTAGAGGAGTTAACACTATGTTTACTAAGTGCTAATAAGTCAGGTAAACTACTGCGATCTACTTCATCATGTGAATTGCTGCTGGAGGAGGATGCGGAGGAGGAGGCGGAGGAAGAAGTATAATTTACTAAACTATTAGACATAATATCATCCGCTTCATGTAGATTATGCAGATGCTGCTGCTGAAGATGATGAAGGTGACCATTTGTTATAGGCAAGATGTGTGTTAAATTTTGTACATTTAATAGCTGCGTTAGGGAGGCAGCTCTAGAGGATGAGGGTGTAGAGCTGGGTGAGCTATCCGTTGAGGACGTTGATGATGAACATGAAGAGCTTAAATTTTTGTTATTTTCTCCTGTATCTATAATATCTGGAGGTGGAGATAACTTTGCTTTGGAACTGCCATTTAAAGGTTTGATTTTTTCTATTTTTTGCCTTTTTGTTTGGGGCTGTTCTGCATTATGTCCATTATTATTGTTATTGTTTAAATTATTAGCTACCAAATTGCTGGAGGTGGTAATATTGTTATTATTAGCATTAGTGGGAGTTATGCCATTGGTTTGGCCATATAATATATCCTTTTGTGTTCTATTATTCTGTTCCGCTGAAGAAGACATAGTTGCCGTAGTGTTTTAGCGTTCCGGACGCTTTTCCTTAACACTACCACAATATTATTAATATAATTTAGTTTTTCTACCAGTCTTCTCGGCCAGAATTTACACACTGTTGTTTTGTTTCTTTTTTCAGCTAAAATTACACAAAAACAACAAAATTTTTAGAAATTTTTGGGTTCAATATAAAGAAATTTATTTTAAGCATCACCATAAGCTGCTTCTTTTTCTTTGTAGCAACTCTATGATGCCATGGGACAAAAGGTGCTACCGTGCTACGCATTCACAAGGTTACGTGTGCATTTTGCTTAGGCGGAGTTATTTTAAGGTAGCACTTTAGTTTACACACTTATTTTTTATTATTTTCTTTAGTTTTTATGAATTTTGTTTTATTTTATTAAAAAATTTATAAATTTTTCTCTTTATTTGTTACCATTTATTATTATTTACCTTTTTTTTCTCTTTTAAACTGTTAGTGTCACTATTTTTGTTTTTGCTTGTTTTTCTTTAATGATCTTACTAAGCATTTGTTGTTTTTGCTTTAATTCCTTTATTAGCCACATTTCTCATTTACAAAAAATTAGGTTTTTTGTTTAAATAACATTTTGTTTGTTTAAATATTTAAATCACTTTTAAAATTTTCGAATTTTTACACATAAAATAAAAGAGCTGAAGAATTTTTTTACTTGATTTTCGACTTCTTAATTACACACATTACGCGTCGCCATCTTGCTTTATTTTTGCCCTACTTGACATTTACAGTGTTGTATTTGCGTTAGTAAATGTAAAGTAAACTTGGCAGTACTTTTTATTTTAGATACGGCATTACCATAATCCGTAATGTAGAAACACTGCTTTATCCTTAAACAACTGTTTTCTTTTCTTTTTGTTTATTAACTTAACAGTGTGGTCTACTTTATTTATTTTTATATATTTGTTCAACAAATAAGTAGGTTTTTTGTAGAATAAAGTTTAGAAATTGATTTTATTGTTATATTGACTTAAAAATATTGTTCACTTCTGTTAAATTTTGGTGTTATTAAAGTAATTTTTAAAACTTTAGCTGAGTTTATAAAAATCAGTGATTTTTTTAGTTTTTTTAGTAAGCGTTTTTTATTGCTTTAAGTTGTTTGTTCACACTGAATACTTTTGTTTTTCATTTGACATTGAGGTGGTATGTTTAAAGTCGCTGGAATATTTCATATTTTAAACCGAAAATTACAATTTCATTTATTATTTGAATCATATTGCAAGCGTACGCTAACAAAGTAATATCTATTTTAATAATATAACATATTTTTTTAAATTTTTTGTGTACTTCAAAAAAATATATACCAACTAAACAAATAAATTAGCATTAAAACAACAACAATGGCTGGCCCACTACCTTTATTAACCACGGAAGCAGTTTACAAAAAATTGCAAGAATACTATCAAGCCAATGGTGAAAAAATTAACATTAAGGATTTATTCCAACAAGATGCTGAACGTTTTAATAAATTCAGGTATGTACCCTTTAAAATATATATAAAAAACTGAAATCTACAAAAACAGCAACCACCCCCACCAACTAAATGTATTTCAAGTAGTTAGGAGCCGGTGTTTTTTTCTTTTTATTTAATGCATACTGGGTATTAATTTATAATCATGGCATTTTATAACAGCAATTAGTTTTATTTGTTTAATATTAGTTTTGTTTTATAAACAAAGAAAACGTAATTTAATTAAATATTTAATTTAACTTAGGGGTTACTGTCAAGGTCATTTTTTTTCATTTCAATATTGAACTTGCCCCACTATCATATCATATGGTTGGTTGCTTGGTTTGGTATTGATAACAAAATTTTATATATTCACTTAGTAATGTGTGTATACCTTTAAATTGGAAAATATATATGTACATATGTACATATATACAATTTTTGTGTCCTTTGCTCATGATCCACTTGAAAAAGCAATAGTAGTATACCCTGAAAGTTTACTTTTACTTTCTCTTGTAATATGTAACAAAACAGGGTCATATTAATTGTATATTAATAGCTTTCTATATACATATGTATGTATGTAAAATAAGTGGTATACTATGTGCTTTTACATATTTATAAGTTAAATATGTAAATTTTTAATTTGTATTAAAGTTTTGTTTCATAATTTGTTAGCTAATAGTGTCACTTATTTGTTTATATAGAGATTTTCAAGAGTTAACGGTTTTTTTCGTGTTTATTTTTATTATTCTGTAATAAATTTTCATTAACATTGCCACTAGTATAGAGATTTTTATTGATCCTTTTTTACTTAAATTAATTGATATGGTAACTTTGGGGGGAAATGATAACAGTTTTTTTTTTTGACATTTGTATGTAAATAATGAAAATCTATTATTTAACCGATGTTTTATCATTAGAGTAGATATTTTTATTGATCCTTTTTCTTTTTTTACATGATATAACATCTTTATGTTAGAAAAATAACCGGTTTTCTAATTTAGCGAGTTTTTGTATTTTTTGAGATTTAAATGTTCAAATTACAGAAATTTTCAAAATTTTTGAATAGAATTCACTAAAAATGTTTAGAATTAAATAAATAATAATAAAGCAATAATATTTTTTAATTTCCCTTTGTATATGTGTGCTTAAACAACAACAATTTTGCCAAAAATTTGAACGAGTTTGAATACAAATCTTCAAATAAAAAATAAAATAAAAACAATGACGTATACTTGGGGCGAACATTAATGGGCCGGTCATATGTACATACATTTTATTTCTAGAACAATATTGAATATTTCATTCAACATTGTATTGTTTGTTGTTATTAATTGTTAACATTAATAAGACTTGTTTTAAATTAATTGTATTCAATTTCAATTAAAACTCTTGTGGAGGGGTAGGGGGACAATAACAAATTCTTTTCATTCCCTCATAAAGATTTCATAACATTTTCTTATAAATTTATTTTATAATTTGTTATTTCGATGTTCTTTATTAAAAAACCTAAATTCAAATTCAAATTTTCCGTTACTTAAAAAAATGCCTTACAGCTTGCGCATTAGCACCCCCAAGGATGGTGATATTTTGTTAGATTATTCCAAAAATCGCATTACTCCCGAGGTATGGAGTCTTCTCTTGGAATTGGCTAAAGTAAGACGTGTTGCTGAGGCCCGTGATGCCATGATGTCTGGCGCACCCATCAATATCACTGAAAATCGTGCTGTTCTTCACATTGCTTTGCGTAATCGTGGTGATCAGGAAATTTTGGTTGATGGCAAAAATGTAATGCCTGATGTACGCGCTGAATTGACCCATATGAAGGAGTTCACCAATCAAGTTATATCCGGCGTTTGGCGTGGTTTTACCGGTAAACAAATTACCGATGTTGTTAATATCGGTATTGGTGGTTCGGATTTGGGTCCTCTTATGGTTACAGAAGCTTTGAAACCTTACTGCAAGGGTTTGCATTCACATTTCGTTTCCAATATTGATGGTACTCATATGGCGGAAGTTTTGAAGAAGGTCAACTATGAGACCACCTTGTTTATTATTGCCTCCAAGACATTCACCACCCAGGAGACCATTACCAATGCCACCTCGGCCAAGAATTGGTTGTTGGAACAAACTAAAGATGTGGGTTTTTTTTATTGAAAATATTTGTTTTAACTTTATATTCATCTCATTCTCTTTAATTTTTCTAGCCCGCTGCCGTTGCCAAACATTTCGTGGCCTTGTCCACCAACAAAGCCAAGGTTACTGAGTTCGGTATTGACAGCAAGAATATGTTTGGTTTCTGGGATTGGGTTGGTGGCCGTTACTCTTTGTGGTCTGCCATTGGTCTTTCTATTTGTTTGTCGATTGGTTTTGAGAACTTTGAACAATTGTTGGAGGGTGCCCACTTTATGGACAATCACTTTAAAAATGCACCTTTCGAGAAAAATGTAAGTAAAATTTTCCATTCAAAATCTAAGAAATTCAAATTTTTGAAATTAATTTCGAACATGAATATTGAGTTTTAATGAAAAATCCTTTTTCGAAATTAAGTTCGAATTTTCAAAGCTCAGCCTACAGTCTTAATTTGGTTCAAAAAGTGCAGAATAATAAAAATTTAAACATTTTTTAATGTATTTTTTCTTTTTCCTTCCAGGCTCCTGTCATTTTAGCCGCTTTGGGCATTTGGTATTCCAACTTCTACAATGCTGAGACCCACGCCCTCTTGCCCTACGACCAATACTTACATCGTTTTGCCGCCTACTTCCAACAGGGCGATATGGAGAGCAACGGTAAATTTGTTACTAAAACCGGTTCCAAAGTTGTGGACTACAATACTGGACCCATTGTTTGGGGTGAACCTGGTACCAATGGACAACATGCTTTCTATCAGCTCATCCATCAGGGTACACGTTTGATTCCTTGCGATTTTATCGCTCCAGCTGAGACACACAATCCCATTGCTGGTGGTGTACATCACAAGATTTTATTGGCCAACTTTTTGGCTCAAACTGAAGCCTTAATGGCTGGCAAAACTGCCGAACAAGCTAAGGCTGAATTGGTTAAGTCGGGCTTATCGGGTGAGAAATTGGAACAGCTATTGCCACATAAGGTCTTCACCGGCAATCGTCCCACCAACTCGATTGTAGTGAAAAAAGTAACACCCTTCATTTTGGGAGCTTTGATAGGTAAGTTCGAAAGTTTAACTTCTTTCGTACACTATTTTATCTAACATTTTATTTATTCTTTTTCTAGCCATGTATGAACACAAAATCTTTACCCAGGGTATTATTTGGGATATCAACTCCTTCGATCAATGGGGTGTCGAATTGGGCAAACAATTGGCCAAGGCTATTGAACCAGAATTGGCTAATAAGGATGTCATTACTAGTCACGATGCCTCCACCAATGGTCTTATCAACTTCATCAAATCGAATTGGTCTTAAACCATAAATTCCTAAGCAAAAAAATCCTATTTAGTTCTCCTACTGCTACTACTACTAACACTACCTTAAAGCAACACATTTAAATGAAGACTCACGCGCACATTTCCACATTTCTTATACTCAGCCAGGGGTTTTTATCACAAACACCCCCCGCACAACTTTTAAACCCAGCGAAAAGCAACAGAAATGTATTTAAAACGGTCAAGTGCAATTTTTATATAGTAATGGAAAGCTATTAAGGATTTGAATCCTTTTTTTCAACATTTCCACAAACAACAAACAAATACAAAAAACATCACAAACAAAACAACATTTGCTTTTAACTTTAAATTAGTTCATTTAAAAAAACCCTTTTAGTTGTAAACATTGGTTAGCAAACAAGAAAAATCTCACTAATTAAGTAAATTCCCCAAAAATTTATAGAAATTTAACTTACAATAATAATTGGCTTAATGTATTTTGAAACCAAAAAGAATATGAAAATGTTATGCGATTGTTATTAAACACTTTGTTGTAGTAAACAAAAAAAAAACAGATACTTCATCAATTTATCAATCAATGGCATTATTATTTGAAAAAAAAAAAACTAAATAAACAAAAATAAAGCATAATTGTTAGATGTTACAAAAAAAACTATAAATGTTATTTTATTAAAACTTTCTTCTATTATAGTTATCTAAAAGGACAGTTAAAGGTTTCTTGTAAATTGTTGCTTAACCTCCTCTCCTCATAATTGTACTTACAATAAATGTATTTTTATTTGCAAAACTTAACTTAACAAATGATGAAAGACAAAACTAAACTGGTTTACATTTCCATATCTTCGTCATCATCGTCTTCCTCCATATTTTCATCACCATTTTCTTGTTCCTCTTCATCATCATCCTCCCCAGCACCCTCTTCCCATTCATCATCTGAAGAAGATTTGTTAATGGCATCATCTAAATCAGAATTTGAGGAATCTAGAAATTTACATAACTTAGTAATTGGATTTTCAATAGTGGTACCACAATTTAAAACTTACCATCATTGTCTTCGAATACTAAAACATTATCACTCTTAAGATTATCCTCCTCCTGGGTATTGCGTTTTATTTGACTGACCAACAATTGTAGGCGACCATTAAGTCTAGAAGAAGAAATTTATTCACTTCTATTTCGGCTTTAGTTCAGTTATAGTTCGCTTTTAGTCCAGTTCTTGTTCAGGTCTAATTTAGTTTTAGTTCTGTTCAGTTCCATTTTAGTCCTGTTTCAGTTCTAGACCCAGATCTAGTTCAGATCTTTTCCGTTCTTTTTCATTTCTACTTATGTTTTCGTTTAATTCTATTCAATGTTAGTTCATTTCTAGTTCACATCTAGTTCATTTGTAGTTCAGTTCTAGTTTATTTCTAGTTCAGTTCTAGTTCAGTTCTAGTTTATTCGTTCAGTTCTAGTTCAGTTCTAGTTCAGTTCTAGTTCAGTTCTAGTTCAGTTCTAGTCCAGTTCTAGTCCAGTTCTAGTTCAGTTCTAGTCCAGTTTTAGTCCAGTTCTAGTTCAGTTTTAGTTCAGTTCTAGTTCAGTTCTAGCTCAGTTCTAGTTCAGTTCTATTTCAGTTCTAGTTCAGTTCTAGTTCAGTTCTAGTTCAGTTCTAGTTCAGTTCTAGTTCATTTCCAGTTCAGTTCTAGTTCAGTTCCAGTTCAGTTCTAGTTCAGTTCTAGTTCAGTTCTGGTTCAGTTCTAGTTCAAGTTCTAGTTCAGTTCTAGTTCAGTTCTAGTTCTGTTCTAGTTCTGTTCTAGTTCAGTTCTAGTTCAGTTCTAGTTCAGTTCTAGTTCAGTTCAAGTTCAGTTCTAGTTCAGTTCTAGTTCAGTTCTAGTTCAGTTCTAGTTCAGTTCCAGTTCAGTTCTAGTTCAGTTCTAGTTTTAGTTCAGTTCTGGTTCAGTTCTAGTTCAAGTTCTAGTTCAGTTCTAGTTCAGTTCTAGTCCAGTTCTAGTCCAGTTCTAGTCCAGTTCTAGTCCAGTTCTAGTTCAGTTTTCGTCCAGTTCTAGTCCAGTTCTAGTTCAGTTCGAGTTCAGTTCTAGTTCAGTTCTAGATCAGTTCTAGTTCAGTTCTAGATCAGTTCTAGTTCAGTTCTAGTTCAGTTCTAGTTCAGTTCTAGTTCAGTTCTAGTTCAGTTCTAGTTCAGTTCTAGTTCAGTTCTAGTTCAGTTCTAGTTCAGTTCTAGTTCAGTTCTAGTTCAGTTCTAGTTCAGTTCTAGTTCAGTTCTAGTTCAGTTCTAGTTCAGTTCTAGGTCAGTAGTTCAGTTCTAGTTCAGTTCTAGTTCAGTTCTAGTTCAGTTCTAGTTCAGTTCTAGTTCAGTTCTAGTTCAGTTCTAGTTCAGTTCTAGTTCAGTTCTAGTTCAGTTCTAGTTCAGTTCTAGTTCAGTTCTAGTTCAGTTCTAGTTCAGTTCTAGTTCAGTTCTAGTTCAGTTCTAGTTCAGTTCTAGTTCAGTTCTAGTTCAGTTCTAGTTCAGTTCTAGTTCAGTTCTAGTTCAGTTCTAGTTCAGTTCTAGTTCAGTTCTAGTTCAGTTCTAGTTCAGTTCTAGTTCAGTTCTAGTTCAGTACTAGTTCAGTTCTAGTTCAGTTCTAGTTCAGTTCTAATTCAGTTCTAGTTCAGTTCTAGTTCAGTTCTAGTTCAGTTCTAGTTCAGTTCTAGTTCAGTTCTAGTTCAGTTCTAGTTCAGTTCTACTTCAGTTCTAGTTCAGTTCTAGTTCAGTTCTAGTTCAGTTCTAGTTCAGTTCTAGTTCAGTTCTAGTTCAGTTCTAGTTCAGTTCTAGTTCAGTTCTAGTTCAGTTCTAGTTCAGTTCTAGTTCAGTTCTAGTTCAGTTCTAGTTCAGTTCTAGTTCAGTTCTAGTTCAGTTCTAGTTCAGTTCTAGTTCAGTTCTAGTTCAGTTCTAGTTCAGTTCTAGTTCAGTTCTAGTTCAGTTCTAGTTCAGTTCTAGTTCAGTTCTAGTTCAGTTCTAGTTCAGTTCTAGTTCAGTTCTAGTTCAGTTCCTAGTTCAGTTCTAGTTCAGTTCTAGTTCAGTTCTAGTTCAGTTCTAGTTCAGTTCTAGTTCAGTTCTAGTTCAGTTCTAGTTCAGTTCTAGTTCAGTTCTAGTTCAGTTCTAGTTCGTTCTAGTTCAGTTCTATTCAGTTCTAGTTTAGTTCTAGTTCAGTTTCTAGTTCAGTTCTAGTCAGTTCTAGTTCTAGATCAGTTCTAGATCAGTTCTAGTTCAGTTCTAGTTCAGTTCACTTCTTGTTTATTTTTATAGATACTTACTTTGACAATTCCTTTAGACAATTTGCGCGATGTTCAATTATACCAATGCAGGGACCCAATTTATTAAGTAAATCATCGGCTCCCAAAGCCATCAATTGACTGGAATGAGTTTGGGCCAAAACCTTTAACCAATTCATGGCAAATTCAACGCTGGAAACAAATAAAATTAATAAATAAATTCCGATCTAAATCAAGTAAAGAATATACCACTTACTTGGCATGTTTCTGTTGCATTAACAAAGTCAATTCATTGACCAGTGTGCCCACATATTGCACGGGTAGTTTTTGCAAGGTAAGCTGTATGGTTTGCATATCTTTTGTAAATAAAACGGAACGCAAAAGTCTGTTTAAGAGAAAACATTTAATAGTAAATGTTAAAAAATTATTTATTATGGCAAAATACTTACTCGGCATCTTTACTGTGCAGCGATTGCACCAGCAATTGTACTTTACTTTGTGACTGTGGCACCACCTTACCGTCGGGAGCATTTAAATTCAAATTCTGCAGCCTTGATTCCATGGGCAAATCTAATGATTTAATTTTTTTCTTCGAAACTGTTAATGCTGATTTATAATCCACATCATTGTTATTGATAATGGGTGTAAGGATTTTTAAAGCAGCATCCGAGGAGGTTTTATCACCTTTACCGCCCATTTTCGCTTTTATTAAACTTTTGGGATCTTTACGCACCAAAACTTGTAGTTTTTCACTGAAATTTGGTTTTAATTGTTCGAAGACCATAAAATGTTTATCGCCATAGGCAAAGAGTAGTTCACCCGGTTTGGCAGCATGTTTGAGGGAGGAGGCCACAGCAGATATGGGTTCTATAACGGTGGCACTGTCGGAGGCAATGCTTATGGTGAGTTTGGGTTTAAGCGGTTTATCGGCTTTAATGCTGGAAGTGTGCAAAGGGGAGATATGAATTCATAAATATAGAAATAAATTTTTAGTTTATTTACCTCTCCAAATCTATGACATATACATGTATAACACCACTGCGTGTTACACTGGACACTTTTAGTTTACCTTCCTCTTCCATTTGACACGACAGACAATGAGCTATATCCTCCATTAGTAAAGTACAAGCGGCAGCCTTATTTCTACCCTTTTTGCCAATTTTCCACAAACAAATAATACGTTCCATGCGTGAGGTAGTCAAGGCATACTCTATTTTATCTCCAAACACAAAAGATTCCATAAAATTGATTTCGGAGGTGTGGCCGGTAAAGGTTTGCACTAATTCTTGTGTTTCCACCGAGTATACTTTAACGGTGCGAGAGCCCACCACCAATGTATTGGAAACTGGCATATAGTTTATGCTAAAGGGTTTTTCTGGGCCCACCGACCAATTGGACAATTGTTTCTCCTCAGCTATAGACCATATCACCACCTGGCAATCTTCGCCACAGGTGAAAAGTCTGCCTTGTGTATCGCTAATAATAGAAGTAATTTTTCCGCTGTGGCCTTCACCCTTAAGATTGCGTTCGATCTAAACAAAAAATTAACATTTTAATTGAAGTTTTTATGGTTAAATTAAAGCATTACTAACCTTGGCTTCATTATAGGAATATAAAGAGACTTGTCCTTTGCTGGTGCCCAAAGCTATATACAAAGATTCCTTGACATTTGAAGATTTTCTAGCCTTTTTCTTTTATTTAAAATAAAGATAAAATTGTAAAAAATTTGTTTTCTTTTAATAAAACGTGTGCTTACCTTTTTGTCTTGTGTTGCTGAGGAAGTGGCGGCCACCGATATCCATACCAAAGCTGAGCAGGGTCCAGACAAATGTAAATTTGGGGTATATTCTTGTTTCAATTCATTAGTATCGGTATCCCAGATCCTTAGGATACCTTGGTCATTGATGAGGGCAAATAGTTTACCATTGGGTGAAAACCCCAACACGTGCTGTATTCCTAAAGCCATCTCTCTGAGTGTGAGTGAGAATTTTGTGTGTTTTTTATATAAAAATTAAACAAGCTGTTGGCATTTGCACAAAGAAATGTCAAATTCTTAGAATAAAAAGCAATCGCCTGGCATTTGTTATGTCAAAGTACATACATAAAAAATAAATAAATTTGTAACTGCTGTCATCTTGTATATTACCACTTTGTTGTCATCTGTCAAAACAGTTGTTCTCAAACAACAAATTACAAAGTAAGCTAAACAGGGTGTAACAAGTATAGTAATTTTTTATATAAATTAATTAGACGGGTTTTAGCAATCGACTTAATAAATTATTGTATTTTTTTAAACATTTTAAATTAAAGTTTTATAGTCCTAAAATTTAAGCTTTTAAACGTAGAAATTATTTAAAAAATTTTAAAATAATACTAAAAATCGCATAACTGCAAAACTGGTTAGCGTTTAATTTACTTTTATTTTGTTAGCCACACTATTTCATTTGTTTATTTTATTGTAATTACCCTGTTTTTATTTTTTGTAGTTTTTTGGCAAGTTCCGTACAGAGACTAAGCCTAGCCGCCGAACAAAATGTCAAAGCCGCCGCCGCCGAAAATTTTTCAGCTTAATACGGCTTGAAAGTTTCGCCAATATTTTGTACAATTTATAGAATACTTTCGCTAAATTTGTGGAATTTTACAATATAAAATTAATTTGTTTTCATTTAAGCAAGTTTTCTTTTATCTAATAATAAGCCGCTCATTGAAATTTGGCCGGTGTAGAACTTTGCTAAAAACGTTCGATGTATATGCTTCGCCTCAGATATTTTCGTGTTTTCGCGCCTAATTCGAGTCGCTGCTTTGACTTCAAACCAGCTTCGTTGACGTCAACGGAGCTACACCTTTTACGACATATGATTTGCCGAATATAACTCTTACTTCTTACTTATTTTAATCATAAATTACCGCTAAAATAGCAATAGTCTGCCTTTGGAGTTGCGAGTTTTCATACATTCTAATAATGTTTTCAAAGTGAAACTTTTGGAATATTTTTCAATCTCTTTGTGATCCCTTTAAATGATGTTGTTCTGGAAGAACTTTAACATCCATGTAAACTTTTTGGGTAATAAATTGGGGGACTACCAATGAGGGGAGCGGAACCTCCCATATGAATTAAATACAAAAATTCGTTTATCTGGGAAACTAATAGAACTAAATTCTTCAAATTTTGCACGAAGAACTTTAATATTCATCTGAACATTTTGGAGAAAAAAGGGCGGACTTTCATCTGGGGGGCTTGGAGCTTCCACATGAATTAAATAGAAAAATTCGTATATCTGAGAAACTATTAGAGCTAGAATCTTCAAATTTTACTGAAGAACATTTAGAGAATAACGGACGGACTTTCAATGGGGGGCTTGGCACTTCCCATATGAATTAAAAACAAAATTTTGTATATCTGGGAAACTATTAGATTATTCAAATTTTTCATAGATTAAATTAAAATCTTAATTAACGTTCGGAATAATTGGCGAAATTGCAATAATTTGCGTAGAATCTCCCATATGTAACAAATTGTATATCTGGAAAACCATTGTAGTTAGAATCATCAAAATCGTTAAGTGGGTTTCTTATTTATATTGCTTTAAGGGTAGCACAGCACACTGGGTATAGCTAGTAAATAAACAAATAAAATATCTTTGTTTTTACGTTATTGATCATTTTCTTAATGCAAAATTTTTTAGAAACTGATTTTCTGCAAGATGTTTTATATGGAAGATAGGGTTAAATATCGGCAGATCCTAGTAAAACTTGGAGAAAGGATTTGTTTTTAATTTTTAAGAATTCATCCCTGCATAATTTCTGACACAACTTTTGAGCTTGCTCTGTTTTGTTGTTATAAACAATATATTTGCTTCCAAAATCCCACTTTCTGATCTCTCGGATTCCGTTTTTATTTAAAATCGTTGAAAAATTAAAAATTAAACGTAGTTGAAAACTTAGCCGGCTTACAGTCGATTTTAAGCCGCGCCGACATATTTAGTGTCAGTCGCCGCCGCCGTTAATATTTGTCGGCGCAGGGCTCTGGTTCCGTAGGAAAATATTTCAAACGCGCTTTGTCTTTTTTTATAAACGAAAAACACATATTTCACCATTCCTTGAAAAATGACTATGACGGCACGAGAAAAAAGTCTACTAGCCGCTGCCGATCATGAATGGACTGCAGAAGAGGAAATACAGTTATTCTATGCCATGGGTGGCTTAAAACCGGTAGGAGTTAATAGACATTTTTACATTGCCTGTATAACAGATCGTCTGTCCAGAAGTTTAAATCGCGACTACACAACAGAAAGTATATGGGTGCACTTGAGAACAATGTATAATCTAGAAGCTTTAGAGGATTTAGAGCCATTACCATTTCCCAACGAAGAAAGAGAATTTTCACTGCCAGAAGCGGAATTTTCAACGCTGCTATCGAAAAAACGTGCTGCCAGTGAGGAAAGTCGTCAGAGTAATGAAGGTCCTCCCTCAATAATAGCAGTGGTAACAGATAATACCATCAGTAAGGGTAAATACTGACAAAAAAAAAATTTAATTTAATTTTTGACATTTTCTTCATATTTTAGATAAAACTTTGAGTTCACAAACAAAAACCTCTTCAAGTTTAATTACTTCTAAGGAATTGGATAAGAAACTTACGTCGAAGTTAACCGATGCTCCCAAAAGAACACCTAAACGTACTAGAGGTTCCATGTCTTTGGAGTCCAGTAGTCCTTCGACTACCCCACCACCTATACAAAGCAATAAAAGGCGTCGCATTTAATTTAATATCCCCTAAAACATTTCACCCCCTCTAAAAACACCATAAACTAAGCGAATTTTCATGTTTTAACATTTTTTCATATTCATAGTTTTACAATTAGATTTTAGTTTCAATTTTTTTTTATTAAAATACAAAGTAATACTTAATATATAAACAATTAATCTTCAAATTCTTGGGAATTATCCTCCTCCGGTTCGGTATTGTTAGTGGGTACGACGGACATAACATTAAGGCGTTGTAGAAAAGTTTGCAACAAACGTTTGTTTAAATGATCGGTTTGTGAGGTTTCTCGTACCACCTCTGAATCCGTGTCAGCCGATACATTGATGCGTGGTGTAACAATATCCAAGATTTGCAAAGCAACATCTACTTCCTTGGGACTTTCTTCAACGCAAGGCATTTTTATGTAAAACTTGTTAAATGAATATAAAATGACTCAATTTTTACTAAACAATTGTTAGAAATAATGAAATTGTCATTAGCGAAACAAATTAAGTAAGGTCACCGCCACACAACAAATCCATTAGTTTTTTATCCAAAGAGTTTGACAAAACATATTTTAGAAATATTTTTTATATATGAAATTTGACATTTCTCTATGTAAACAATAGAGGTGCCAAAACATCCTATACTTATACGCCTTGTTGTCATTTTCATTAACAACAGAGTGTTTCATAATTTATTTAATATATATCAACAGAAAAAACAATAACAAAGAAAAGCCAACTTGTCATATATAACTTTAGTCTGGCAATACTTAAGCAAAGAAAAAGAAATTTTTTTACAAGTTTTACACAAAAAAATTGGGAAAATTATCAAAAAACTAATAAAAAAGCAAAATATTAAAGGTTATTGTGAAAATAATTTATAACTAAATAAAATAAAACTGAAAAAAGTGTTAGAAATTTAAAAAATATACAAAAATATATAATATATATAAAAACAAAGAAAAAAAAAAAAACAAACAATAAGAAAAAAGGTCACGAAAACAAAACTGCAGCACACACACACACACTTATTCATATACCCAAGGGAAAGTTACCATAATACGAATGCAAGTGAAAACAGAAGTACAAGAAAAATTGCGACACAAACAAACAAAGAAGACTCCATGAATCCAACAAGAAAAAATATAGTAGAAGAAAAATTAAAAAATTAGACAAAAATCAAAATAAATAAATTATGGATTATGTGTATTGTGGTGCCGATAGTATAGGGCCACCAGCAGATGACATGTTGAGTGAGTTGGGAAAATGATTTGTGAGAAATTTAAGAGTTAAGTTTTTGTTGTTTCTTTAGATGTTTATGATGGTGGTGGCCAACGTAGCAATAATCACTATTCTCCCAATTTTCCCGGTTTTAATTTGGGTTCAGGGGATGCCGACTACATGGAACTGGTGCCCATTTTGGCCGATGGTGGTGAGAATTTTGGTGTTTCAGCGGTGGCATTTGACGACTATGAAGAATTACTTTGGATGGGCAATCAAGGGGTATTAATCACTTAATTTCTTCGAAAAAAAAAATACGGAACAGTGATTAATCATTATAAAATGTTCTTTGTTTTTCAAGGGTCATGTCACCTCGTACTTTAGCAGCAATCTACAAAAGTACACCTCCTTCCAGGTTCATCCCTCCGATATAGTACGTCAAATTTCTACTATAGATTCGGGTATATTGGCTTTAACTCAAACATCGTTAAGGCATCAAATACGTCGCGGAATTCCAAAATTTACCCATAAATCGAAGAATATGACGGAAATGGTCTGTATGCAACAGTTGTCACCACAACGTTTAATTATGGCGGGTTTGCAAGATGAAATGATTGATTTTGATTTGAGAACTTTAAAGGAAACTAATTTGGTAGGTTCTTATTAGTTGAGAAATATGTAGATAGTTAGATAGATAATCTCCTCTACTAAATAGGAACATGTTGGCTCAACAGGCTGCACGGTCTTAAGACAGAATTCCCGTTTTCTTTTTGCTGGCGATCCTTATGGCACCATTACCTTGCGCGACTTAAATTCTCTTCATGTCGAACACACCATCAAGACCCACACCGGCAGTTTATCGGATTTCGATGTTCAGGGCAATTATTTAATATCCTGTGGTTATAGTGGTCGTCAAGGTACTCTGGCCGTTGACCGTTTTCTAATGGTCTATGATTTACGCATGTTGCGTCTAGTATCACCCATACAAGTACTCCTCGATCCACAACTCTTGAAATTTTTACCCTCACAAGCTTCACGTTTGGCCGTTGTTTCCAGTTATGGTCAAGTGCAATTGGTCGATACGGTGGAATTAAGTGAACCGCGTGTCTCTATGTATCAGATAAATACGACCGGTAACCAGTGTTTTGATGTCAGTTCTTCGTCTCAAGTTATGGCGTTTGGTGATCAGTCAGGTCATATAAGTATCATAGCAGCGGTGAATACGCCACAACCACAATTCAATAACTTTTCACGTGACACCGAATTTGCCGATCCAGTGCCCCAGTTGCCTATAGTACCCATTACAGACACCACATTCCCATTATCGTCTATAGTATTGCCACACTTGGTAACTGGATCACGTTGGTTTTCCGACTGGCCCACTGAATTGTTGCGCTATCAATATCGCCGCCCCAAACCCATTGAACAGGAGGTTTTGAATAACATGAAAATGCAAGGACCCATTGGCTATTCACCCAATCCGCGCACTTTAAGACGTAATCAAATACCGTACATTTTGGAAAATGGTGCCGGCTTAAGTTCAGGCAGTGGTAATGGTCTTAATAATGCGGTCAAGTCTTCTGAATCCGGCGTGAAAATTATACCAAGACGTTATCGCAAGGTGGAATTGAAATACACCAAATTGGGTACTCAAGACTTTGATTTTGAGCAACACAATCAAACTTGTTTTGCTGGCCTAGAGGCCACCTTGCCCAATTCCTATTGCAATGCCATGTTGCAGATTTTATATTTCATAGAACCTTTGCGCCAGAAATTATTAAATCATAGTTGTGCCAAAGAGTTTTGTTTATCGTGTGAATTGGGTTTTCTTTTCTATATGTTGGATAAAAGTAGTGGTAAGTTTGGTTAATAAATTGCTATTAAAAGCAACAGTTTAATGGACTTTACTTTTAGCTTCTACACCTTGCCAGGCCAGCAATTTCTTAAGATCTTTTCGTACTGTACCCGAGGCTTCTGCCTTGGGCCTCATTTTATCCGATAGATCATCAAATATTAATTTAATTAGTTTAATACAGGTGGGTACAAAAAAAACAACTTGTTTTTATGTTTTTTCTTTACGTTTTGTGTTTTTATATTTCTTAGAATTGGAATCGTTTCATTTTGCATCAAATGCATTATGAAAATTTGGATTCTCATAAGAATAGCCATGTTTGTGGTGTACAATTTGTGGGCCATAGTTATGGTAAATATTTTGTTTAACAATTTTCCCTCAAATTGATGTTTTGAGAATAAAATTGTAACTTTTTCTTCTTTCACAAAACCCTCACTTTTAGGCAAACAACAATATGTAACATATTCGGAGGAAGCAAATGCAGATTCAAGTAAAACCGGTGCTGATATATATCAGGCAATTGATGTTAAACAAGGTAAGGGTATAACAAAATAAGAGTATAAACCAGATTATAGACAGGAACCTCCACAAATTGAGACTAAACTAGACTATTGATTAGACTATAGACTAGGATTTAGAAATGTTTTTCAATTTTAAATAAACCTCTTTTTCCCCAGATGAAAACAATCGTGAAGATGAACGTGAACGTAGTAAAATTAATGAAGAAACTGAAATCAGTCGTCTCTTTGGTACCAAACAAATCAGCATCAATCGTTGCCTCAAATGTAATGAGGAGAAATCAAAGCACAGCATTCTTTTAACCTGCAATCTAACGTATCCCGCTACAACAACAAAAGAAACACCAGAATTTATGAATTTCGGTACCATCCTTAAGGGATCATTAGGCTGTGAGAAGAGCATACAAGCGTTCTGTGAAAATTGTAAAAAGTTTTCACCCACTAAACAGACAGTTAAAGTATAAAGAAAAAAATTGAATATAAATATAACAATATATAGTCATCGTTTTATATGTATATATTTTAGGTCACTGGTCTTCCTCAACTGCTAACCATTAATTGTGGTTTGAATAATGAAAAAGATTTAAATTTTTTGCGCAAACAATTGAATCGCAATAATCATACCATGTCTGAAAGTCCAGCTACTTTGAATACAAATAAACCTTGTCGTTATGGTGTAAATTGTTCTCGTAGTGATTGTCATTTTGTTCATCCCGATCGTAAGTCTCCCTCAGTGTCGACAACAACTGTAAATCAAACGACAAATATTTCACCTAGTGGTAGACAAAATTCTTGGTTTCCTCTGGGCTTTTCCATGGCAATTGATGAACAAGGTGAATTGAGTGTTCAAACCGATAATAGTAATACCAAGTTGGATAATAGTAAGAATGCAGAGGGATCCACAGGAGCTGCTAATGTCGAACAGGCCTCTAGTGTTAAGCGTAAGTTAAAAAGATTTTTTGTATTTTATTTTTGAAATTTGTAAAATTTTCCCTTTTTAGCTCAAAATATCAATGAATCATTTCGTGAATATGCTTTACATGCCGTGGTTTGCCAAATCGACGATGGCAGTCAAAAGAATTTGGTTTCTTTGATAAATGTCAGCAGAAAATATCATACTATGAAAACAGGCAGTGGTAGCTTTGGTGAAGATCAGCAACAGTGGTATATTTTCAATGATTTCAGGTAATATAACGAACGAGAATTTAGACTAGAAACTAGACTATAAAATAGACTATGCACCAGACTAAGGACCACGCTATATAATAAATTATAGACTAGACTATAGATTAGACTATAGACTAGACTATAGACTAGACTATAGACAAGACTAGACTATAGACTAGACTATAGACAAGACTAGACTATAGACTATATAGACTATATAGACTATAGACTAGACTAGACTATAGACTAGACTATAGACTAGACTATAGACTATACTATAGGACTAGGACTATAGACTAGACTATAGACTAGACTATAGACTAAGACTATAGAGCTAGACTATAGACTAGACTATAGGACTAGACTATAGACTAGACTATAGACTAGTACTATAGACTAGACTATAGACTAGGACTATTGACTAGACTATAGACTAGACTATAGACTAGACCTATAGCCTCGACTATATACTAGACTATAGACTAGACCTAATACTAGACTAACAGACTAACGATAACTGACTATAGACTAGACGACAGACTAGACTACAGACTAGACTATAGACTAGACTATATACTAGACATAACTATATCGATAGACTGAGACATAGACTAGACTATAGACTAGACTATAGACTAGACTATAGACTAGACTATAGACTAGACCTATATACTAGACTATAGACTAGACTATAGAACTAGACTACAGACTAGGCTTTAGACCTAGACTAGACTAAATAGAATAGACTATAGACTAGATATAGACTGACTATAAACTAGACTATAGA